CGGAGGCAGGGGCCGGCAACCCCGTCAGAGCCGCGCGGGGAGCGTAGGGCGGCTGGGAGAGGGAAACGTCTAGGCCCGGGCTGGGGCGGAGGGGCCCTGGGGAAGGAGACGTACTTACCGGCGAGCGCGGCAGGGCTGGGGTTGGAGTGGGTGAAGAAGGAGCTAGGAGCCCTTTAGCGCTCCCCCCGCGCTTGCCGCCGCCGGGGCCGTGCGTACGCAGGGCTGCTCCTGGGCCTATGCTGATGGTAGCAGCTCGAGGCCTCCTTTGGAAGCGGCTCGCTCCTGTAGGGAATGCAACCTTCTGGAGCCTGGCTAAAGGTTACTCTTTTGTCGTTGTCTTACGGGGATCTCTCTTTAAGGGAGCGGAGCAGATCGCAAAGGGCCGTGTGGGTGCCTGGGTGCTGCGGCCCGTGTGTGATGCTGAACACTTCTGTTGGCGGCGTCCCGCTGCTGGGCAGCACCTGATCGCAGGGCTGTCTGCTCCCTGCATGTAGGGCATCAACTCAAGTTTTTTATCTGCCGGACTCTTTCCAGTTTGTGTCTATGCGGGTGATTCCTACTGAGAATTTTCTTGTTTACTAGCTGGCCCAGTCAAATCTAGCAATGCAAAAGGCCTTTTTTTTTTTTTTTTTTTTTGTTTCTATTCTGCCTGCCATTCCTAATGATCAACGATACGTACAATTTCTGTATTCTTTTTCTGGTATAGTCTGCTGTAAGAGACAGCCTCCACCTAATTCTTGAATGGCCTGATATTTATAAGCGGTGTTCTCAGAAGGGACGCGCTGCATCTTGCCCTGAAAGCAGTATCTCTGAATTTTATCTCCTCTGCTTTATAATCTAAATTGTCTGTTGTCCAAAAGTTTGACACTTAAATTGTATGCTGCCCAATGATAAATTTATCTGGTTCTTGACAAATCTGCAGAAGGAATGACTAACGCATTTACTTTGCATTTATTTGAAAGCACCTAGCTTCTGCTGCATTTATTGTGTGCCTTTGTAGTGTTCAGGACAATCTCTGCTTCCCAGATCTTAAACCATCTGTTAAATTCCCTTTTCTCTCAGGTTGCGTGATCTGCTGGTTACAGCAATGAGATATAAGAATCAGGACTGCTATGTCTATGTTCTAGCTTCTCTCCCCTCCAGCTTGCTGGCTGATGCTGGTCAAGTCACTTTACAGCTAAGTCTTAGTCTCCCTTTCTGTGAAGCATATGTACGTACTTCCCTCATTATTAAGTAGTCTGTGGCTCCCAACTTGTGATGCAAATTATCTACCCTGCAAATATCTCTCTTGTTCTGCTTACACAAAGTGAGGATAAAGGAGGTACAGTACTATTTTCCAATAGCCTCGTCAACCTTATTAAATGCTTTCATTTTTTATTTTCCTTCCTTGTTTCTAGCTTTGTAGCAATTGCTAAGAATGTGTGCTCTGTGGGAGGTCTGTGGTTGTTTGCTGCACCTTTCCTAGCTGTTCCTGCCCTCTGAACTCTTATGTTGTATCTTTTGTTTTGCAGGATTTGTTCTTCTCCCTTTCAATGGAGAGTGACTGTATAGATTAATAATGAGGACCAGCCCTCGCAGGCCCTTAATTCTCAAAAGACGGAAACTGACCCTCTCACAGAAGGATGCATCCAGTACTTCAGCAAGAGATGAGAACAATGGTCAGGGTGAAAAGACTCCTAAGCAGGAGCACAGCCAGGAGGACCAACACAACAGCCAACCCAGAGACAAAATGGACTG